CCGGTATTGTACGGAAATGAAAAAAAAAAAAAAAACTGAATACACCGTTTCAGAAACGTGATTAATTAAAACGAGCGCGGAATTGAATTCTTTCTCCAACATTCAAGTTGTACAATAATTAAAAAAAAAAAATCAATATACGTCGCGATATGGGATCTTCTATCACAAAGAATCAATATAGCTCACAAAGACGATATACGTCTCGAATTAGCAAAGCAGGAAGAGACGAGTAATATCGATTTCGAATTTGTCCAATCACAGGATTCGAAGATCGGGATATACAAGAAGATGTGGGAGTTCATGGAGACGAAATCGCCATCGGTGTTCGTAAAGAGCTACGAAGATGGTGTGAAAAGAGTACTTGAGGGCGATTACGCCTTTCTAATGGAATCCACCATGCTCGATTACGCTGTACAACGCGATTGCAATCTCACGCAAATCGGCGGCCTGTTAGACAGTAAAGGCTACGGAATTGCCACCCCGAAAGGTAATATCAGGGAATAATCGAAGCTTATCCCGCAGTACGACTTTCTCACAAATCTCCATTTTTTCTGTCTTTCTCACGCTTGCAGAGAAATTTGCTCTCCATCGAGAACGGAGAAAAAATATACAACATTCTCGATAATAATGACACGCTTCCTTTCCAGAGGAATAGTCCACAATTATTTACTTATCGTTGGAAAATATCTTTATATCTGCGATATTCGATGATTTCGAATCTCGATATATTCTTGCTTTCTACTCTTTCCATAAAAAAGTTTACCCATTTTTTTCTCTCATTTCTTCGTTTTTTTTTTTTTTTTCTTCCACGCCTACATAAGACTTTACTCTTACGTCCACTTTCCGCGGAAGATAAACAATTCTTGAGGAAGCTTGCTAAAGAATAACGTTCTTCCTCCCCGGCAGGGATTAATTAATTCACGATTGCTTATTTAGAAAACGCTTTACAACCGCTCGGCTGCACAAAGCGAGCGAGCTACTCCGCACGTGATAAAACCTCTCTCAAAGCGTTTATCTCCGCGAAAATTACACTTCCTCTTTTTGCCGGACGTTTTGTTCCCGCGTTTAATATGCCACAGTCTTAATTAACGTGCATACACGCGCCGTGTGAATAGGTGGAACAAGTTCCAGGAAGCGGTCGATGCTTGGCGCAAGCTTTCCACGGGTGTCGAGCGTTTCACTTTCACGATACAATAACCTGTTTGATAGCTTTCAAGAAACGTATACACCAGAGCTCAGCGCGAGAAAACTTGCTGAATCGGAGAAACAACGCGCGTAAATATCTGCCGACGTTACTTCTCTACGTGAAGGATTGCCAGAGAATTTAATGGCACACGAGGCGAGGGACGTTTCGTGGCAAACATCGTAAACCTCGCGAGTTT